CTCTGAGTTCCATGTTGCTCAAAGCTCCATCTGCTCCAAGGTCCATTTTGCTCAGAGCTCTACTCACTCTGAGCTCCATCCTGCTGTAAGCACCAACTGCTCTGAGCTCTATCTAAAACTGAGCAACATCTGCACCAAGCTCCATCTTGCTCAGAGCTCCTTATTGCTCAGAGTTACATCTGCTCTGAGCACCATCTTCTTCAGAGCTCCATCTTGCTCAGAGTGCCAATTGCTCAGAGCACTGTTCGGGGTTCCAATGACTCCAAGCTTTATTTTGCTCTGAGCTCCATCTTACACAGAGGAACATCGGTTCCAAGCTCCATCTAGCTTGGAGCTCCTTCTTGTCTGAGCTCTGTCTGCTCTGAGCTCCAAACACTCCATGCTCCATCTTGCTCTGAGCTCCATCTGCTCAGAGCTCCATCTGCTCCAAGCTCCATCTTGCTGGAGCTCCAATCCCTCCAAGCTCCATCTTGCTCTAAGCACCGTCTGCTCTGAGCTCCTCCTTGCTCGGAGCTCCAATCACTTTGAGCTCCATACTGCTCTGAGCACCATCTGCTCTGAGCTCCATTTTGCTCTGAGCTCCATCCTGCTCTGAGACTATATGCTTGCAGCTCCATCTTTCAGTAACATCTGCTCCAAGTTTCATATTGCTTGGAGTGCCATCTCGCCTGGAGCTCTATCTGCTCTAAGCTCCATCATGCTTGCAGCTCATCTTGCTTTGAGCAATCATCTGCTCCACGTGTTTACTGCAGCACTATTCACAATAGGAAAGACATGGAACCAATCCATATGCCCATCAATGATAGACCAGAAAAAGAAAATGTGCTACATACACACCATGGAATACCATGCAGCCATAAAAAGGTATAAGATCAAGTCCTCTGCAGGGACATGAATGAAGCTAGAAGCCATCATCCTCAGCAAACTAACACAGGAACAGAAAATCAAACACTGTATGTTCTCACTCATAAGTGGGAGCTGAACAATGACAACACATTTTAATACCATTACATCCTCTGAAGATGGTCTCCGTTTCTCTTAACAAGGGATATTTATACTTTGTAATTTTTCTTGCTAAAGGATTGTGGCTTCTCCTGTCTGTGCCAGTTTAGGGTACAGGTTGACTACCTCACCTTGAAATTACCCACTCCATGTCCACACGTGATTGGTCCTCCTGTGAACCGTTTGTTCACAGATTCTTACCACCTGTGGGTCATTTGAGGGGAGGTGATCTCACATAGTTCTGCACCAGGCAAATCACCAACTGAAAGAATTACTGAAACAATGTGTGTGTCTGGTATTTCAAAGAATAAATAGGGGCCAGTTGAAGGTGATAAAGTCAGTAACATCTTAAGATGATAAGATGTCAGGAACATCTTAGATGACCAGGAATAATCCTGTGGGCCCTAAGACCGTATCACAATATGGACTATGTCAGCAAAAATCTCACCCATCAGACAACAGCAAATTTAACATTTGAGCCAGAGCTCTTGATGTGTGAAAGCACACGACCAGCAGGAGGCAAAAACATTAGGGAGACGAAGGCTTTGCTGCATATCTGTGGGTTTCAGTCTCCAGTGAGACACTCAGAGCCTACATCTCCTCTGTTACAATGCTGCTTTTATTGTACAGCACATTTCTACATATGTTTCATTTTATTTTTTGAATTCTGTACTTCATTGTTCTCTCAGTGTAGTTATGAATCAACATCACACTTTCAATTTCCAAGTATTTACAATACATGAAAGGAAAGTTTATTTTTTATATTCAGACTTTTATGGGTATTTTTGTTGATTCTTCTTTGCAATAAACTTTCTTATCCCCAGAGCACAGATAGTAGCTATATTGGAGTCAAGCTCAATTCATGAATTGATTAAAGAATCACTGACCTCTTCATACTGTTAAATATACTTTTGTAAAATTGTGGTTTCATTATTTTTTATTTGTCCAAACCCATTTCCCATTTTATACGTTTTTATAGCAATTCTGATTTGGTTAAATTTTTAAAATATACTATGCTGTAGAATCCTGACAGTGTCTTTTTACATCTATGATCACGAACACATGGCATTCTCATTAACTCTATGAATGCAGTTAATAGTATTAGTGGATTTCCTAATGCTGAATTTCACTGTCCTCCTGCCATGAAGGATGTCTAGTCATGCTATAATACCCTAATATGTTGATACAAAGGCTTCTCATATTTATAACTTTTACTTTTATATCCATATGTCCTATTTGTCTGTAGTATTCTGTGTGTCTCAATCCAGTTAATGGTCTTATTTATCACCCTTACATATCCTTCCAACATTTTGGGGGGAATGTTTAACTGCTTTATAACTCTTATACAGGTTAAGTGACATTTGTTTATTGTTTACTGAACTTTTTTTTTTTTTTTTTTTTTTCTTTTTGAGACGGATTTTCACTCTTGTTGCCCAGGCTGGAGTGCAATAGCATGATCACAGCTCACTGGCAACTCTGCCTCCCAGGTTGAAGCTATTCTGTTGCCTCAGTCTCCAGAGTAGCTGGATTACAGGTGCATGCCCACCACGCCCGGCTAATTTTTGTATTTTTAGTAGAGATGGGGTTTCACCATGTTGACCAAGCTGGTTCTCAAACTCCTGACCCATTCAATGTAATCTGCCCACCTCGGCCTCCCAAAGTGCTGGGACTACAGGCGTGAGCTACCACGCCCAGCCTACTAAACTCCTTTATACTGGAACTTATTTGTGTATGAGAGCTCTCTGTTGATAAATTCTTTGTTATTTCTATTATTTCATTAACATTTACCCCTACTGAGATAGAGATTCTAAATGATGGACCACCCAACTGGTACTGTGTTCATAATATTGTTAATCACAGTAAAAATAGGTATTCTTTTAGAAAATCAAGGCTGAAAGCAAAAACAAAAACAAAAAAACGAAACAAAACAAAACAAAACCACACACACACAAGAAAACAAAATAAAACTTACACTGACCCTCTCCATCCATTAGTGGCATCAACACAGAAATATAACCAAATGGACCAAATGAGGGAGCCAGATAATCAGACCAAAATTATGTAGAGTAAACACGTATTTCAGAAACACACCAAAGACACCCAGATTGAGAAGCCTGGATAGTCACGTGCAAAGGACTGAAGTAAGACCCTTATGTTGCACAAGACACAAACATCAACACAAAATAAACTGAACACCTAAGTCTAATCCTGAAACCAAAAAAGCTCTCAGGAAAAAACATAGGGTGAGTGTCTACTTTGGGGAAACCTGAATCTGTGAACACAAATTGCAAAAAGAGAAAATTAGGGAGAATATACCCATTAACAATACAATGGCTTCACCACCTCTTTTTTGTATTTCCCAATGGGACACAGAAATCACTGCTAACAAAAGCAAATGTAAACATGTTTGACAAAGGACAACTTTAAAATTTCTAAACAAGGAGAAAACAATAAACCCAAAGAAAAGGCATCCTACATATTGGGATAAAATTATGGAAAATCATGTATCTGAAAGGAACTGTTATCTAACATACACAAGAAACTAAAGCTACTAAGTGGGCAAAAAGATAAAACAACTAAAACCTGTATTTATCCAAACAATCTGCTACTGGCATAAAAATAGAAAGGCTTCCCAATGGACAGAATGAGGGAGTCCCATATGCCACCCAAATGTATATACAGCGAACACATTTTTCAAAAGAACACAAAAAGACACAATGGGAAAAGGAAAGCCTGTTCGATAAACAATTTTAAGCAAACTGGATAACCACATGAAACAGTGAAATAGGACAAAAATCAATGTAAATTACATTGAAGACCTAAACTCAATCTGGAAACCACTTACTTCTCTTAGGAAACATAGGGTGAGAGTATATTTTAGAAGACTAATCTATGCACACGCGTTGTAAAACGTAAAATATAAAAATAAAAAGAAAAGAAGAAAAATAGAAAAAAAAAAACCCATAGACAATGCCAGGGTGTGACACTCTTTCTCACTTTTTTTTATTTTTGAGATGGAGTTTCACTCCTGTTGCCCAAGATGGAGTGCAATGGTGCGATCTTGGCTCACTGCAACCTCCGCCTCCCAGTTTCTTTTTTTTTTTTTTTTTTGTTTCCCAGTTTCGAGTAAGTCTCCTGCCTCAGCCTCTCGAGTAGCTGGGATTACACGGATGCGCCACCATGCCTGGCTAATTTTTTGTATTTTTAGTAGAGATAGGGTTTCTTCATGTTGGTCAGGCTGGTCTTGAACTCCCAACCTCAGGTGATCCACCTGCCTCAGCCTACCAAAGTGCTGGCATTACAGGCGTGAGCCACCGCGTGTGGCCTATTCACTGTTTTCAGTTGCACACAAAAGTCACCACTAGCATATAAACATGTGGTACTATGGAAAACATTGGATCTTACGTAGGGAAAAGAAAACAATGAACCAGAAGAGAAGGCATCTCACAGACTGAAAGAAAACTATGGAAAATCCTGTCTTTGAAAGGGGTCATTATAAAATACGTGCAAGAAACTAACACTACCATGTGGGGGGAAAATAAAAACAGAAGCAAAAACAAACACCCAAGCTAAGTTTGGACCAAGGACCTGAATAGACATGTCCGAAAAGTAGACGTGAAACTGACTCACAGGTAAAAGAAAAGTTTCTCAAAAGCTCTAATCCTCATGAGAATGTCAAGGAAAACCACACTGAGATACCACTTCCACCCTCATAGAATGAATGTTACCTAAAACAAAAATAAAAGTTTGAAAAGGAAACAACTGGTATAGACTTGCAGAAGGGGAAACTCTTCTAATACACGATTGGTAGGAATGTCAATTTGTACACACATTAGGAAAAACAGCCAGAAGTTCCTCAAAGTAAAAACGCCATTTCATCTAGCCATCCTGCCATTGGCTATACATTTACAGCCAATGAAATTCCTGTGTGGAAGAGATATCTGCCTTGCCCTGGGTACTGTGGTACTCACAATAGCTAAGACAGGAAATACACCTACCTGTTCATCCATTGATGAAGGGATGAGGAAACTGCAATATACATCCAGAATGGAATATTCTTCAACCACAGAAATGGGTGAAATCTAGTCATTTGCAGCCATGTGGAAAAACCTGGGGGACATTACGTTAAAGGAAATGAGCCAGGCAGAGAAAGGCATATACTGCATAATCTCATGCATGTGGAATCTAAAACACTTCACCTCATAGAAGTAGAAAGTTCGACAGTGGTTACCAGAGGCTGAGGAGAAGGGACCTGGGCAGGGATTGGTAATGGGTACAAAGTTACACTTAGAAAACTGAGATCAATCCTGCCCTTCTCTTCTACAGCAGGGTGACTAGGGTTAATATTGTAGTGAATTTTCCAAATAGCTGGAAAGGATTCTGAATATCTTCTCCACAGATAAATAATACCTAGAGGACTTCACAGATGCTAAATATTGTGATTTAATCAATATGCTAGGTGTACCTATATCAAAATGGCCCCTGCATCCTCTAGTTATATACATATACTCTAGGGCAATTTCTTTTCTTTTTTTGTTTTAAACGATGCCAACGATGCTAAAATTCACATGGAACCATGAAACGCCCTGAATTTCGAAAGCAATCCTGGAAATACAAAGTACGTGGGATGCATCACTGTCCTCCATTTGAAGTAACATTGAAAAGCTAGTTATCTAAACGGATGACTGGCATTAACTGAGAAATCCAGACCAACTGATAGAATGAGGGAGCTCAATCACAAACCCAAATTCCTAGGTAGTGTATACATTTTGTAAAAGAACACCAAAAGACATGACAAAGAAGGGGAATCGGTTTAATAAATTGTTTTCAAAATTGGATATCCCTGTGTAAAATAATAAAATAGGACCCCTATTGTGTAAAAAGCATAACAATCAACTCAAAATGAATTAGAGACTCATAAACAAAACTTGAAAGAATCAAGCTCCTCCCATGAGAAGACATACGGTGTGGGGATATTTAGGTCAGCAGGGATCTGTGCTTACAGTGTGCCAAAACGAAACAAAAACACAGCGGAAAACTCATGGGTGATGGATTAATTTGGCCATGATTTTTTCTTCATCAGTCACCTACATCACAGGGAATCAAGAAAACAGACACACGTGGGACTGCATCACCCTCTAGAGTTTGTGCCCAAGCAGATAAAAAAAAAAAATCCATGAAAAAAAAAAAAAATCCTGCAGTTTACAAGAAAGGTTTCGGCAAACATACATCTGATAAAAGGTTGTCTTCAAAATGTCTAAGCAACACTACTTACTAGCAAAAACACAAAAGAGAAACTAATAACCAAACAAAATGGGGCAAAAGAACCTGAACATACATTTCTGCAAAGAAGGCATAATATTGAAAACAAGTTTTAAAACCTTGGATAACATCACAAATCATGAGAGAGATGTAAATCAAAACAACACACATATCATCTCACTATAATTCAAATGGATGTTATCAAAGTGATAAAAAATATCAAGAGACACAAATTCTGGTGTAAATTTCCAGAGAGGAACTCGTTTGGTAAGAATGTTAATTAGTATACATACTACAAAAACCAGTGGGACAGTCCTCCAAAAATTAAACCTACAACTACCACTTCATCTAACAATTTTACTACTAAGTATACCTTCGGTGCAAAAGAAATCAGTCCTTGCAAGAGATATCTGCCATCCTATGCGAACTGCAGCACTATTTACAACTGCCAAGATAAAGAATAAACTTACCTGCCCATCCACACATGAAGGGATAAAGTAACTGCTGGATGTTTACAAATAGAAGAGTATTCAGCCAGAAAAACAGAATGAAATTTCATCATTTGGAGCCATATTGTTGAACCTGGAGGACATCATGGTAAATGACCTAAACCAGGCAGAGAAAAAAAAACACTGCCACAGCTCACTCATGTAGAATCCAAAATAAAACGCTTTACTGCATGGATCTAGAGAGCACAATAGTGGTTACCAGAGGTTGGAGGGAAGAGGGGGCACGGACAGAGATCAGAAATAGGTACAAAATTACACTTAGGTGAGAGGAATGAATTGTTCCTCTGTTCCACAGCACAGTGACTAGAGGTTAACACAAGATCATACCTTTTTCACAAAATCTGGAAAAAAAGATTCCAAATGTTTTCACCACAAAGCAATTAACAACTGTTTGTGATAATGGAGACTCTTGTAAATGCAAGATTTCCAATGTTTTCACCACAAACACTCTATATGTATACAAATGTGCCCTATTTATGGACCTTTACATTGTAAAAAAATTAACAGAAATAAATACATAGTGCTAAAAATCACAGGGAACCACAAAAACAATGAATATCTAAAGGAATCCTGAGAAATACAATCAAACTGAGAACCCACAATCCTCGATATCAAATTAAACTGCCAAGTTGTAATTATGCAGCAGATATATGGTACTTGCATAAAAACAAATACCTAGAACTATGGACAAACAGGGAGGACAAAAACACGATCAGCACAAATATGGACACAGTCAACTGGCTTTGATAAAGAACACTACACCGTGGAAAGCAGAGTCTGCTCAATGAATACCTTTAAGAAAAATTATATCTGGATTCAGAGGCGAGAAATAGGACCCTTATTTTACACGATGTATGAAAATCAACCTCCTCACCCACAAACCGAAGGCCAAAACAAAATACCATAAACCACAAAATGTTTTTAACGAAAACACAGGTTGAGCATATATTTTGGGTCACCTGAATCTCTGCTAACCTTTGCAAAGAGGAAAAGAAACAAACACCCTGGAAGAAAAACCTCATTGACAATTAAATGCTTTGTTAGTGACACATGTTTTCTAATATGGGTGACCACGATTACATGCATGAAACGCAAAAAAAACAAAAACAAAAACAAAAACCAAAACCATATGGGACTACATCAATCTGAAAAGTTTCTGCATAGCAACGAAAACTACTTTCCAAATAAAAAAGCATCCTATAGATTAGGCAAAAATTTCAGGCAATCATGTAATTCACGAGGAGTTGTCAACTAACGTGTACACAAAAAACACTACAAAGTAGAAAAAAAATCCAATCTAATATTTCACAAAGAACCTGAACAGACAATTCTGCACAGATATAAAATCGAACAACAGATAAGAGATAAAGTCCTCAAAATTAACTATTCATTAGAATACTGTAATTCAAAACCACATGCATATAATCTCACGCTTATTGAATATTCCTAGAAAAAATTTTAAAAATAGGAGGGACTGGAAGTGGTGGCTCACGCCTATAATCCCAGCACTTTGGGAGGCCGAGGCCGGCGGATCACCTTAGGTGAGGAGTTTCAGACCAGCCTGACAAATGTCGTGAAACCCCGTCTCTACTAAAAATAAAAATACAAAAATTAGCCGGGCGTGGTGGCGGGCGCCTATAGTCCCAGTTACACAGGAGGCTGAGAGGAGAATTGTTTGAAACCGGAGGCGGAGGTTGCAGTGAGCCGAGATGGCGCCACTGCACTCCAGCCTGGGAGACAGGGCGAGACTCTGTCTCAAAAAAACAAAAACAAAACCCCAAAAAATTGGAATGGGGGTGTGGTTTTGGAGAAAGGGGAATTCATACACTGTATGTGGAAATGAAAATTAGGGTACACACCATGGGAAACAGCTAAATAGCTGGAGACTCCTCCAAGAATTGAAACTACAGCTGTTCCCCGCTCTAGCGAGGTCTCTTTCTAAAGACCCTGAGGCATCAAAAATAACCCTAGACTCCAGCTCAGAGGCCCGTGGGGCTCGGAGGGACCCGGGTCCAGCGCTTCACCGCCGGCTCTGGGCCAGGGCGTTCCCATAGGCCGGTCGCGGGTCGCACAGCGGCACAGCCTTCCCGGCCGGGGTGCGGACGCTGCAGCGGCCAGGATCCCACAACCGCCCCCGCGCTGACGACTCGGGCCCAGATGCCCACGAATAAGTCAGGGCCCGAAAGCAGGGAGCGGCCGGGAAGGAGCAGGGAGACCCAGAGGGTTCCCAGTGGGGTTCATCCCCCGTCACTTACCGCCGAGATCTGCCTGTTCCTCCACCAACACCTGCCTGTTCCTCCACCAACACACGGAAACCACCGCAGCTTCTGCGAGGCTCCCTCTGACCACGCCGCCGCTGGTGCCCGGGCCTCGCACGAAGCGCAGTCTCGGCTTCCGTAGGGGCCTGCACGCTGGCAGCGTCCCTCGTGGCAGGCTGAAGCACCGCCCCCTCTTAAAGGGGCCGCGGCTGGGACTGGCCAGAAGCTGCTTCGGTTTACACAGGCTGAACCTCTGCCCAGTCCCAGGGGTGGACGAAAGGCCCCCAGTCTCTCATCCTCCCGGGGTCTAGGGCCCTAGAGGTCGCAGGAGCCATTCCTTTGACCCCAGCCCCTAGATCGGCTCCCTTTGCCTGGGGAGCGCCCAGGACCTGCCCCTGCCCTCCTCTGGACCTCAACTTCACCATCCGCAAAGGAAGCGGCCTGGCTGGAGCTCTGGGGTCCCTCAAGCTCGGCGCCTCAGGATCCAGGGTGGTCTCCCCTGCCCCTCTGCAGAGGGGGCCCAAGAACCACGGAAAGCTGGGGGTTGGAGGGACAGTCCCGAGGGCAGCAGGGCCTCCTTGGCCTCACTGTCGGCGTTCGTCCTGTGGGAGCCCTGGGGCCCCTCTAGGTCCCAGACACCTGCGGCCTCACCAGGGCTGCCTGGGTCACCGAGCTCCCCAGGAGGCAGGCAGGGGCCCTGGGGTCCAGCGCTGCCCCGACCTCAACTCCATTCTGCGTCAGCATTCGCGAGGGGGTCCTGCGGACTGGACCCAGACCTACCCATTCCCAGGGAGAGGGACCCGCATCCGTCTCTGTGACACCCACGGAAGGGGCCGTGCTGACCTCTCCCGGGGATCTGGGGGCAGGTGGGGGAATCCCGACCACCTCTTGAAGCTCGCTGAGCCTCCCACCCCAGAGGGCGCGCAGGAACAAAGGAAAGGACGGAGAGCCCACATATTTTCAAACTTCCATTTCCATTTTTTCTTTTTTTTTCCCCCTCCAGAATGAAAGACGTGTGTAGCTTCGTCGCCTGCACATCATCCATTCCTTAGGGCCGCAGTGCGGATCCAGCCCGCCGGTTGCCTCTAGGGTTCTGGGCGCCTGGCGGTCCGCATACAGCCCCGGGCCTGCTCAGGTGAGGTCTGCGGCCGCCACAGCGCTGAGGTCCAGCCTGGCCGGGGCGCACGGGCCGCTGGGGCGCTGGCTGCGAGGCTCCGGGGAGGTGGAGCGGGAGGTTGCCCCAGGCTCTGGCTGCAGAACTCTTGATGTCGTGCCTGGCACCCTCCATCCACCGCCTCGGAGCAGCGCTCCAGAGCCCCAGCCGGGGCAAGAAGTTGATCACTTCGTTCTTCATTCGTTGGAAAAATTGAAAAGCACATTATAATCCCTGGAACGACTACATCAGAGATAGAGCAAAAAATTATAATAGGATTGTAAATGCCACATTGAAATAAGTTTATTTAAAAAATGATAGTCAATGGAAAAACAGGATCAGAAGACAGGAGAGATAGAGATAACAAATAAATTATCTGACTGAAACAATTAGAAACTAACAGTAAGAAGTATTGAACATCTGAAAATATGTGAAAATTTAACAACCCACCTCTAAATCATTGGATCAAAAAAAAATCACAAGATAAATTGGAAAATATTTTGAGCTGCACTCCGGTCTGGGTAACAGACTGAGACCCTGTTTCTCAGAAAACAAAACAAAACAAACTTCAAAAAGCTATAAAATTAAATGCCGACTTTCCCCTTTACCCAAAATCTCCATGGCTCTCCTTTGCCCTCAGAGTCAAGCCCATGCTTCTCACTGTAGGCTCCAGGACCTAAGTGGCCTGAGCAGTGCACACCCTATCACCATCTCCTCCGCTCATGCTGTCCAGTCACACAGACTCTTTGTGCTTCCAAATGCCAAGCTCCTGATCACCTCTGGGCCTTTGCCGCTGTAGTTCCCCCTCCCAGGACCAGTCTTGCCCTAGACCTTCCCATTCCTGCCTCTTCCTGGCTTGGCTGCCTCTTTCAAGTGCTTCAGGTCTCAGCTCAAATGTCACCTCTTCCGAGAAGACTTCCTTGAAATCTCTGCCTAACACAGCCTGTATGAAGGTCAACACTTTTCTCTTTTTAGACTTAGGTTTTGACATAAAGAAGTTTCATAAAAATGACTTGGGCAGCTATCATCTATTTAAAAGGTCTGACTTTGGTGAAATAACTTGGCTTTCCTGTTACTTTGAGTTTTGATAAAACAACTGTAAAGCCATCTGCCTTTTTAAAAAAAAAATTGAGATTGATGTATACTTCTTTTTTTTTTTTTTTTTTTTTTTTTTTTTTTTTTTTTTACAGATGGGGTCTCATTCTGTCTCCCAGGCTGGAACACAGTTGCTCATAGCTCATTGCAGCCTCAAATTACCTTGCCTTTGTAACAATAGGTCCTCAGTCACCTTTGTCATCTATGGATGCTGGTTCACTTAAGCTTTCTAATTATTTGGAGGTCAGCTTAGCTCAGTGGTTAGCACAAGTTGCTAATAAATGCTCAAGTATGAGGGTACCAAAGAAAGGGGTAGGAAAGTGCAAGACTCTTAGCTTCAAATGCCCAGTCCCCGACTCATCTGCTCAGGCCCCTACCTAGCCTCTGCATCTAAGCCAAACTACATGCCTTCTCCTCTCAGAAGCCCTCTTGGATTTCTCCTGTCCTGTCTTCCCTGCTGTATCCTTGGGTCAGTGGATCCACCTACCTGCCTCTGTGCTGGGCAGATGCCATAGCTCTCTGCTTTCTAGCTGGACAAGGCAAGGGGGCAGGTGTGTGTGTAGAAGATGCCTCCCTAAACCTTGGCCTTTGCCTCATGCCTGGCACATTCAACCTTTGCTGACACCTCCCCAGAAATACCAACCTCACCAACATCTGCAGAATGGGCCGCCAGGGTCTGTCTGGAGCTTGGGTGGGATTTTCACCTGACTAAAATACACACACACACCCTGGGCTTCCAGGTCTGCATTCCTTGACTGGTTTTTCACACCTGAGTCCAAGACAGGTCAATGGTGAGTGGCTGGATTTGCAAGCATGTGTATTTCTGGGCAGGATATCAGCTGGGGCAGTCTGAGAGGAAGCTGTCAAGGGAAGCTGAAGAGGAGGGAGTAAAATTTACACTCTCTAAATTTTACTGTCCACTCCTAGGCCTGATCTTGAGGACTGTCTAGTCTAGGGGAGACAAAGCTGGATGTATATACTGCCAGCCCCATTGGGTCAGAACTACAGGGGAAGGATGGGGACTGTGGGATTCCAGAGGAATGACAGGGAGGGCTTCTTGGAGGAATTTTTTTTTGAGCTAAGTTTTTTTTTTTTTTTCTCTGTAGCTCAGTCTGAAGTGCAGTGGCACAATCACTGTTCACTGCAGCCTTGACCTTCCATGCTCAATTGATCCTCCTGCTTCAGGGTGGAACTACAGGCACATGCCACCACACACAGCTAATTTTTACATTTTTTGTAGTGGGGTTACACCATGTTGTTCAGACTGGCCTCAAACTCCTGATTCAAGTAATCCTCCTGTCTTGGCCTCTCAGAGTGCTGGAATTACAGGCATGAACCTCCTCATCTGACCTGAGCTGAGTTCTGAAGTGTCACTAGGAGTTGGCTAGGTGGGGAAGGGGAAAAAGGACTGTCTAGACAGAAATATTTATCAAAGATAGAGAGAAGTAGGCAGGAGCTGATTAGGGCAAGGTGTTTGGATGTCAGGTTGGGTGCAGAAATTTTCTCACAAGGCCAATGTGGAACCATGGAGAATGTGTCAGCAAGGGAGGCCATGATCAGAGCTTGATCTCTCAGGGGCAGAGTCGGGGACAGTTTGGTTCTTCGGTGATGGAATCAGGAGAGTTGCAGTGTCATGGGGGGTCAGGAGAGTGAAGCCCTGCATCAGCTCATCTGCACCTGTCACCTCGCACCAGAGTTGGTGGGGCACCTCCTGATGTTCTAGAGGGTCAAATAAGCCGTGGGACCCAGTGACTTACAGTGTGAGGTACAGACCAGCACACAGAGGGTACCACCCCAGCTCTGCTCAGATGGACACAGCCCTGACCTCATCTCCAGCCTCCTGCCATCTCCACTTCGACCCTGATAGTCCCGCTTTCCATGGTAGCCGTGAGCTGCATGTCAAAATGATAAATCAGCCCCATCCCTTCTCTCCTCAAAACCCTCTCATAACTCGTCTTTGCTCTTAGACTAAAACCCAGAGCCTCCTGTAGCTCAGAAGGCCCAGTGTGGCCCAGCCTCTGTGGCCTCTCACCCTCCCCACCCACTCCAACCTCAGTGCTGTTTCTCTCCCACTTGGGATCCTTGTACCTGCTGTTCCTTCTGCATGGAATTCACTTCCTGTCTCAGCTCTAGGATCTCAGTCCAGAAATGCCCCCCAACTTCCTGCCTCTTGGGGGTTCTCCTGTCACATGAGCCCTGCACTAGTCATAGTTTCTCTGTAACTAAAATTGAGACAGATTGAGAAGGGGCTTAGTTGAGCCTTCTATGCTCAAGAGACTCAGGCCCAAGCTCAGCCCCGGTCCCTGTTCTCATGAGAGCATAGGCATAGGGGTCATTTGGGGGATGATCTTGGCACTAAGTCGTGTGGGATGGTGTCACCTCCAGCCTCCAGGGACCCATCCTAGCCATGGGAATGTGTCCAATTCCTGTCCAGGATTAAAATTTGCCCTGGAGATTATATTTAGCAAGTCAATCTGGAGCTTAGGGGCTGGAGCCCATAGCCTGGGCTCTGCAGAGCTGTGGCGGCTGAGAGACCCAGCCCGGAGAACATGGAGGTATGCCTGGGGTCACACAGTGGGCCACAAGTACCATCTGAGGTGTCAGATACTTGTGGGCCTGGGACACCTGGATGATGAAGGGTCCTGCCCAGACTGCATGGGCTGGAGTAGTGCCAGAGGTTGGGGTTCTGAGAAGCATCTGTGGCCACTCCCAGAGAATGACCTGAATTTCCTGAGAGTTTGTTGCCAGGCCCTGTGGCAGGTGCTTGGCATTTCATGCCCGCCCTAGAGGTCTGTTACCTGTCCCATTCACAGAACAGCAAATAGAGGCCTAGGAAGCAGCCTCCCATGCTGAGAGCCACCCAAGGGTCATAGAAGAGGCTGAGAC